CATAGGCCTGGGCCTTTTAGCATGCTAAAGTGAATCTTATACACGATTACAAATGATTAGCATAATAAAACATGTGCTACTCTTCTTTTTCTGGGGAACATTAACTGATCTCGCTGAAGAATGATTCTAGAGCTTAATGTTCAACAGTTTTAGTGGGGGGGGCGGTTCCTAGTTACATTGCTCTGACTGCAAATATCCTGCCTTGCTTTCTCCAGAGGCTCTCACCTTATTTTAAGCCTATGGTCCCTGTCTCATTCCCCCTCTACAGATGGAGACTCTAGCTGCTGCTAGGAAAAGGGGGCGACGGCTGCTTCATGCTGAGAGGGGGTGCAGTAAAGGGTGCAGCTAGGTCTCCATCACTGGTCAGTCGAGAGGGCCTTGGAAGGTTGGCACTTCTATTCTGGGTTTCATTTCTATTACTATTTGCAGTTTTATGACTTTTAGGCAAGATAGAACAAATTGTTATTAGGTTAAGTAGTAACATCTGGAGTTGGATTTTCCATTCTGGAAGGACAAACTTGATGAGATTAACAATGCATGGCTGAATATGAGAACTAGAAATATGAAGATTCTAATTGAGAATCATAGCCAGGTATCATGGGGAAACTAGAATTCTGGATTGAGTTTACATCTCAATGACTAGTATTAGGATTTAGTATAGATAAGACAGCATTACTGAAACAATACTTTCCTCTAAAATCACCCTCATTTTTATTAGAGGTAGCCAGATTAAGAAAATAATAAACAGTTGGCTTGATTATTTGCATAAGTGCAGCAAGAAAAGTAATTGATTACATGGGATCTTTTAAATGTGCTTTGCTGGAACTTTTTGTAAGGAATTTCAGATTGAACTTTTAAGGGCTTCTTGAGGCCAGAAAGCTAAGCCAGACTTGCCATCAGGTTGTGCCTGCAGTACCTGTAGATTTGGGTGAATTCCTCTCTTCTTGAGGTTCCCAAGACATTCCTGAGGTTCCTGCACTTGCCAGGAAGTGACCTTCCTTACTCACCTGGTAAGGCTGCTGGGAACTCTGTAAGCAAGGTACCAGGCTAGTTCTTCTAAGGGGCTTTGTTGGCTTTATAAAGTCAATCTTAGTTCCTTAAAGCTGTCTGTTCATATCTGAGCTTACACACGTGTCTCTCAGGTATGACGTTCCAGTCAAAGCCTTGGTAATATAACCAGTGTTTTTAATTAGTCCTCTTGCAAGGAAAGCAGATTCTTATTGAACTTGTGCAAATAAAAATACTGCCATGAAATATAAAAATAGTCAGTTTTAAAATTCTGGAGGGATCAGGTAGAGAGAAAGATAAAGTTTCACTTCTGCTTATAAAGGCAGTCATTTACTAAACTGTTGTCAGCTTAAGAGAAAAAGTTTAAACACTTTATCAACATTTGAAACAAAAAACCACAAAATTATCTTCTTTAGTTTACTTAATCCTATGTAACTAATACTTGTTCTGCTGAAATCTATTTTACTAGTTTAGGAAAAATAAAACAGTGACTATAGATGACAAAACACTTACAAATAACAATGGTTAAAGATCTGATGAGAGCTTACTGTAAGACAGTTGTCATAGGGAAATTTAGATATTTTTGTAACACAAAACAGTAACAAAGTTTAGCATCATTCCCTGTGACAGTGCCTTCTAGGTAATTAAGCAGGTAAATAAGCCAAATTAACCAAATATTTTCTCCAATGAGAAAAAATTCCTCTGACATGTTCCAGAGGCCCTCTGGAACATGTCAGAGTGAACTAGAGGTAAAAAGCACCTTTTTGAATTTGATTTTGGGAAGCTGTTAAAAGTTTTAAGACAGTTGCTTAAATAGTTACCCACATTAAACAAAGCTACACTTCACTTTAAGCATTTTTCTTTGAAAGATTTAACAGATATTATCAACTTAAATGACTAGGTAAACTTAGGCAGCTGATAACCATAAGGACATGTATATTTCAGTTTAACTTAAATTAGCATTAATGCTTAATATCTTCTATTAGAATTTTCTGGAAATTTTAGAATGCCCAATTTTTACAAGCGCTTGTCTTTAAATCAATTTTTATTAATACCATCCGGAGGTAGAAAAATATTTTTAATTTACGCACTTAGACACAGACATACAGATTGAGACATAATGAAACAGTGAGAGGACAGACAGAGCTCCTGGCATGAGCCAGGAGGGGACAAGAGAGCCCGGGGTGGTGCATTGTCTAGGAGTTTTATAGGCAGTTGAGGATATTTGGGAACATAAAAAAGCTTAGGGGTGTGGACTTTAAGGCAAGTAGTAGGTGTTTAGGATTGCATGGGGGACAGAGAGAGTTCAGAGGTAGGAGAAAGCCTGGATATATGGGATCCCTTTCTATTTGCCCATACGCTCACAGAAGTTGTATAAGTTGTGGAGAATTTTAGGACCTAAAGAGCCGTTTGGGGGCCATTTAGACTGATTGTCCAAGGGATAGTGTGGCCAGATCTCATTACCGTAGCAAACAGGTTTGATGTCTGGAGTGACGTGGAGGGGCTTAGATTATTGAGTAAGCACCCTAGCGGTGAATCTGCGGGAACAAAGGGGCCAGATCCCATGGTGAGAACGAGACTGTTCAGAAGTCACTGAGGCATCCCTGAGCGATTGAGGTCACGGAGAGGACCAGGCACAGTTAGGGGGTTGTCACCTCTAACTGTGGGGTCGAGGTGAAAATGCCGGGGAGGCTTGATACCTGGTACCAGGAATTTTTGAGTCGAGTAGATACATAGATAAAGGGAGACGGGCCTCAGTGGATGAGGATTCTCACCATGGGGAGGCAGAGAAGGGTCAACTATGGGGATCAACCGTGCCCCTGTCCCAGAGGAGCCCTTGGTGGTGCCAGACACTCAACGGTCACTTCCCAGGTTCCTAAGGGACATTTAAGTCGACCATGAAGGGGAGATTCACCAAATCAAAGGCCAGTGTTGGGCGAGAAGACGAGCGACAAGGAAAATGGGCAGTGAGCCCGTGGAGGAGGACCGGGCAGTGAGGGTCCCAGAGCAACTCAGGTTCCCAGAGGAAGAGCAGAGTCAATAGGAGAGCCTCATCCGAAGTCACGGCACCAATGAAAGGGTATCTCGCCGCTACCCTCCTTACCCAGAATGACTCAGAAGACACGGGCCCACACAAGAGACTTTATTATCTGAAGGAGAGAGTGGCTGCCCCAGAGGGAGGGGGGGTGGAGAAAGAGAGAGAGAGAAGGAGAGGGAGCAGCGGGACAGAGAGCAGAGAGAGTAGCAGAGAGAAAGAGAGAGAGAGAGAGAGCAGCAGAGAGACAGATGGGGTGGGGGGGAGAGAGAGAGAGAGCAGCAGAGAGAGCAGCGGGACAGAGAGCAGAGACAAAGAGAGAGAGAGGGCAGCAGCATGATGCCTTTTATTGTGGCGGATCCGCTCGGCCTGCTGCTTTGGGGGAGGGTCGGGATGTTTAGAGACAAGGCAGGGTAAGCCCAGTCAAGCCCCAGGCAAGCCCAGGCATAATTCTCACTGGCTTCTGTGCTTGGGACCATGGGGCAAATGGAGGATAAATTACTATATTCTTACAGAACTAATACTAATTTAAGGTTTAATTAAAATAGACATGTCTTTAGAGTTCCAAACATCAGAATTAAAATCTTTATTCTGTGTACATTTACTTAGAAGTCATTTAAATTGATGTCATCTGTAAAATCTTTCAAAAAAAGGCCTGTAGGAATGGCCAACTTTGAAGTGTAATGACGTTTTCTGTGGATAATCAGACATGGCTGTTAAGAACAAATAAACTAAATAGGTGTAGTAGGTAATTATGTGTTATGGTGTGTGTACATAAAAACATCTTGAAAATCTTTTTGGTAACCTGAAATCTTAAAGTTTTTATATGCTAATATGTTAAGTTCTTTGAGCATCTAGGTCATTTCCAAATAAGATGAAATAATGAAACATTAATTTCTGAACATAGGTTTATCTACTTTTGGCTTTCTCATTACAGAAAACTAAAGATAATTTGGGGTCTGTTAGTAAACATGCTTTACACTTATTGAAAGATTGTTCTACAAAGAAGCACATGTTTCTAGAAATTCTGAAACATATTCATAAATTTGCCAGTCTAAAGAATGTGTGTAACGGTTCACAATTGTTTACTTAGCTTTCATTGAAAATTAAGGTTTCTAAGGGTTTTAAGTTCTAATTAAGACCACTTGGCAGAATAAGGGAAACATCTCTAACTGCAAGAAAGGAGGATGTGTGCTTTAGGGGAAGAAGGTCTGAGGAATGGAAATGTGGTTTTGTTAAGAGCAGAGAAAATAACTTGTCCTAAAGTCTGGGAAAGAGGGGAAACAGGACAAACTCTAAAAGTAAAATGGAAAGTTGTAGGAGATTTCTGTGAAAGGAACTTTTGAAAAGGAATTTAATGTGTGGTCACACTCTCTAAGATTAATGAATTTTAATGTTAAGTACATGGCAAGATTAGAATTTTGTTTTCTGTTTGTTAAAAGGACAAAGTTTCCTTGAAGTATTTGTCTGCTCTCAAATTATCAAGAGATTGTGAAAGATTTTCTAATTGTTTTATCAGAATAATTTATCGTGCTTCATTCTGCCTAAATCCAGTCTTTGAGTTCTTAAGAAAACAAAATCTAAATATTAAAAGAGCTGCTTTGCTAACTATATAACATTCTCTTTTTGCCTTTAAAGTCTTTTATTGTCACTTTGGTTAAATGAGTAAGTATTGATTTTATAATTGAGAGGGAAGAAAGGAAGCAAACTCCAGAGTCCAAGCAGGTTTATTGCAAAACCTGAGAGGGACCCTGTGGGTAAAATTTTAACTTTTCCAGAATATCTCGCCTGGCTTTAGTACATCTGCATATCAATTGGCATTCAGAGGTGGAAAGCAGTATGGCTTTAGTGCATTTGCATCATTCCTCGGGGGTGGAGAGAAATTCATCTCCATATCAATGGGTAATTACCCGGGCAACCGAGGGCAACGGAGGGCGTGTCTGTACCCGAGAGGTGAGGGGAGGGCTGGTTTTGCTTCTGCTGGAACAGGACAGAGAGACGGCCTTGGACTGCAGTTTGTGAGCAATAAACAGGTTTTAAACTTTATTTCTCCCTTTGACTGATTTCAGTTTTTAGAGGTATTTTGCCCCGGGATTTCCTCTCCCCAGACTTACAGACCCCTCTGTCCCTGGCCAAGGGAACAAAAGAAAAGAGTCTCTAAAGGTCAAGAGGCTTTTTATGGCCAGGGCTTTGGCAGGTTCTTTGAGGGGAAGGGTCAGGGGAAAGGTGGACTTGTGCCTTGCTGACGTGTCCTCTGGAGGATGCTTGTAGCCTAAATATGATGACACCTAGGTCTCTCTGAGATCGTGGGTGGGCTTATTCAAAAGGCAGTACTCAGGTCCAGATTCTATCAATAATGGTCTGTGATCCTATGTAGTTCAAATCTTTTGATATTTTGACAACTTCCCAAAAATCAGATTCTAAAAAAGCCCTTTTCACCTCTACTCTGAGATTTTCTGAGGGCCCTTGGAACATGCCAGAGAATTTTCTTACAGAAGAGAGATATTTAACAAAATTAGGCTTATTTATTTGGTATCTTAAATTATATAGGAAGCATTGTCAAACAAATGATGCCTAACCTTAGATTATATTGGTGTGGGAAAATGTTATTTAAATGTCTTCTAGAAGTTATATGAAACTTCTAGAAATCTGATGTCCTGGTATGTTTTTAACTTAGAATGTCATGTGTCATAGAAATAACCAAATTTCCTTGTCAATTACATTATGATAACCTCGCATCAGATCTTTGACCATGGCCATTTTTAAGTCTTTTGTGGTTTATAGACAGTTACTGTTTTAGTCCAGAACTAGCGAAAAAACTAGATTCAATGAGGTAGAACATTCATGATCTCAATTTTTAATGTGAACTGACAGGGTGTAGAATCTAAGCATTAGTAAGATTAGTAAATTAGCATAAGCATAGCAATCTTAGAAACCTAGAAACCATTTTCTGAGGGTGTGACTCAGGAAGAAAAAAAAAACTGGGCCTGGGTAAGGCCTTGAAAAACAAGTTAATCATGAGCACTGGGTGGTGGGCAGCTGTGACCCTTGGTCAGCTAACCTTGGTCAGTTAATCTTACATACCAAGCTTATTGTGCAGAACCTCCCTAACCATTGAGGAGTAGTCTTATCCTGCCCTTGCTTAACCCCAGGATGTATGTCTTGCAAGAATAATGTATGGCTGTGGAAAATTACTATGAGTTAAGTGCTTTGAAAATGCTATATAAACCCTTGGCTTTGAGTGCTCGAGGTCCTTGTTGAGACCCGCTGCGTCGGGCTGACACTTGGACCCCAGCTAGCTGGTTCCTGAATAAATTCCTCTTGCTTGTTGCATCAAGAGATGCCTTCCGTGAGTGATTTGGGGCGGCGTCCTCCTCTGAGAGAATCCAACAAGGGAAGTCTCAGAGGAGGAAACCATAGGGACCAAGGGCAGGCTGCCCCCAAATGTGCCATTGTGACCTGCAGATTACTTCAGAATTGAGAATAATCAAGGCTCCAGAGAACAATCAAGGCCCAAAAGACTCAGGAAGAAACACTGACCTCCAACTCCCCAACTCCATACAAAGAATTTAGCTAGAGGACTTGTGTGACGCGGAGCACTATCTATAACGTGATGTGAACTAGGTGTAGTAGACAGGGAGGGCATATGGCCGTATCTGTTAAAATTCCCCCTTGTGATTCCTCATTGTTTCTGTGTGGCCCATCAAGTATATTGTTTACCCAACATTTACTCTTTTCATATTCCAGGAATCGCTTCCCTCTTCCTTTGAAGTCTCAGGCCCCACCCCCTTCTCCTGGGTTCAGGATGACATAAAGACCTCACTCTCCATGACTTCCCAGTATGTATGTAAGTAAACTTTTTCTTTCTTCTGCTTAAAAAAAAAAAGCTATAGTAAGAAAGACAGCACTTATTGGCATCAAGATAGACAAATAGATCAATGGGACAGAATAGAGAATCTGGACCTAGACATTTGTACAGTTCTACTTCCAAACCATTTCTCAAATTACATATAAATTTAACTCAAAATGGATCATACATCTAAATGTGAAAACCAAAATTATTAAAAAGTGAGAAGATATATGAGAACATCTTACTGACTCTGAGTTGGGCAAGGTGGATTATCTTAGATATCACCAAACCACAATGTGTGTAAGAAAAAAATTGACAAATGGGACTTCATCGAAATTAAAAGTTTCTGCTCTTTGAAGGGCACAGTTAAGTGAAGGAAAAGACCAGCCACAGACTAGAGAAAATACTTGCAAATCACAGATCTGAGAAAGAACTAGTATTTAGTATATATAAAGAACTACCAAAACGCAATAATATGAAAAAAAAAGAAGCCAATTTAAAAAAAATTCATTCAAGTAGGTAGTTCACCAAAGAAGATATAGGAATGGCAAATAAGCACACAAAGAATGATAAACAGCATCAGTCATCAAGGGAAAGAAAATTAAGACTGCAATGGGCTATCACAACATACAGCTCAAAATGACTGCAATGAGAAACAGCCCTGCCAAGCGCAAGCAAGGACTACTACCACTGTGAGTCATTCAGACTGATTCACAAATGACTGATTCGAAGGCTATGCATTTCTAAAATATGACCAATGACAGACCTCAAAGGGAGAGCATACATACTGCCTTGATTAAGTGCTTCCTCTTGGTAATCTATGTTAGCTTTCTCCCAGAAATTCTGTAGTTCATTTACTCTAAATCTATACATGTCAAAATGTTTGCACATTTTGACATCTGCAGCTTTTATTTCAATTAGAGGTATAATGCAGCTTGTTAAGACTCATTAATGAGTGATGTGTTCCCTACAAATAATTCCAACTATATTTCTGCATCATACTTTCTTAATTTAATAATAGCACATTTTACCATAATGCTGTGTGACATCAACATTTGTATTTGCATTAGCACAACAAATAGAAATGATAATGTTGTTATTGAATATTTAATTGAATTTACACTTAGGTCTTACACTATCAAAAACATTAAATAACACATCTTCAACAGAGTAAATGTTCAAAACTTTACTTTTATTTCATGATTTGAATAAAAATCAAACAATTACTCAAATTAACTGGCTTTTCTATCTGAAGCATCTGATAACACATAATATATTCAACTGACATCATTTAACTGAAATTCTGCTGATGTACCCAACTCAGTAACAGCTATCATTTCAGCTTCTAAATGCACAGAAAACCTTAAAATTAGTTAAACTAATTAGAATTGTCATTTGAGCCAAATACAAAGTTATGTGTTTGTGCATCATCTCAAGGGCCAAACCACACACCCATTCTTGGGACAACCTTGGGGTTTCTGTTCCATGTGTTTTCTGACTGTGGTCCACTGAGAGCCTATGGCAAATTCTCCTTGACCAAACTCTGGCCAGGCCCTTCTGAGCCCTCTTGTCCGTATGGACTTAAAAGCAGCATTGCTTCTAACAGCTCAAGGAGGATGCTGGCCCCCCGACAGTGCCTGCCTGAGGAAAACCAAGGCTGCTGGAAGAATTTACCCGTCTGCTCCAGCCAAGCTTAGAGAGGGCCCAGCCGCTGGCTGCGAAGGAGCCCAACAAAGAGGGGCCTCACGTGGACCAGCCCCCTTCCCTCCTGCCTGGGATTCTTCACTTCCCTGACCCCACTGAGCCCTGCACACACTCTCCCTAGCCCTCCTCCCCTGTGCACACTAAGGCTGAGGCCCCCCCCTGCAGGCCTCTATTGCAATAGTATTTTATTTATTAAATCTGTCATTCCACTTTACCTCATGCCCAGCTTTACTTGTGACACCTACTGCATTCTACAAGCATCACCACTGGTGGCATGGGGCGGGGTCGGTGGGGGACAAGTGCTCCTTGAGGTGGGAGTAGGGCTTTTGGTGTCTGGTTCCTGGTGTCCAGCACAGTGTCTGTGAATGAAGGGAGGTGGGAGGAAAACATCATTCTGAGTTTCAAGGAGCTTAAAGCCCATCAACAACGTTAGGTATTTTACAAAATGGCATGTAATTTAATGCCAGCATGTCTGATGAGTCTTCCTAGACCCCGAACCTCAGCAATAACCAGGATCCCTCCCCAGGTCAGCTCCACCAGCTGTCAGAACTGAGGCCCCAGGGGCCTGGCTCCCCAGCCACATGGCAGCCCCAGTGGGAGGCCCAGCCGCACCCATGCAGCTGATCCTCATGGGCCTTCCAGAAGCTGCGCTGCTGGCATGGCTAACCCCACAGGGCAGAGCCCAAGACAGATGCCTTCACATCTCACCACAGGGGCTTCTTGAAAATAGGCATCTGAGTTTTGGAAACAGCCAAAACTTGTCCAGAGACAAAGTGATGCCTCAGAGAGACAGGTGGTCAAGCTGCGGGCACCACAAATAGCACCAGTGGTGGCCTCGTGTGCAGCTGGGAAGGGGCTCTGAGGTCATTCCACTGACAGGGCTCCCGGAACGGCTCTGAACCTGAAATCAGGAAATCAGGAGATGGGTTCAAAATCCAATAGACTTCACATGCATTAGGATGGTTGTTATAAAAAATAAAATAACTGTCGGCAAGGATGTAGAGAAACTGGGACCCTTGTGCTTTGCTGCTGGGAATATAAAATGGTGCAGCCACTCCATGTGGCCATTCCTCAGAAGAGTCAACACAGAGTTACCATACAATCCAGCAACCCCACTTCTGGGTCTGTACCCAAAAGAAGTGACAACAGGCATCAGGAGATGCTGGCACACCCGTGTTCACAGCAGCATGATTCATAACAGCCAAAAGGTGGAGACAAGCCCAGTGTCCATCAACAGATGAGTGGATAAACAAAATCGTCTGTTCATGCCGTGAAATATTATTCAGCCTTGAAAAGGAAAGGAATTCTGACACCTGCTACAGTATGCATGAGGCCAGGGCCGGGGGAGTTAGCACTTCACGGGGACAGAGTCGCCGTTTCACCAGAGGAAGCATGCTGGACACGAGCAGTGCTGATGGCAGCTCAACAACGTGAACATACTTAGACCACCGAACTGCACACTTAAAATAGTACATTTTATGTAACGTATATTTTACTACAATAAAAAAAGGTTTATAATTCAAAAGATGAAAACTCCCCTGCCACCCTGACCTCCAGCCTCCCAGCTGCCCTCCCCCAGGTCATCAGGGAAGTGTTTTGTGTCTTCCCTAAACTCATGTTCTAGGAGAGAGCCAAGGAAGAGAGGGGCAGAGAAAGGGGGACGTGGGAGAGGGAGGCACGGGTTCATGACCCATTTACCAGACCAGGAAAGAGCAAGGGCGCAATGAGGCCCCTTCACACAGAGCGTGTCCACCGGATGCACCCAGGGAGGGTGGTTCTTTCCCATTAGAGACCCTGGTCAGCCCCTCATTCACCTAGTGGATTCTCAGTCCTCCAACCCAGGGCCACCTTGTGGAGCGTGGAGGGTCTCAGTAATTGCCAGTTCACATTCTGAGAGCTTCTTGGCTGGGCTGGGAGCCACCCTGCATGTTGGGGTGCCCCTTCCACCCACCTGCTGCACTTCTGGGTGCCGGGGTCCCACTCACTGCTCTGCCCTCCCTGGGTCATTTGCTGTCTTCAGTGACAGTTTCACTGCCTGGCAGCCTCAATCCTTTTAGATCTGGAGTGGGAGTACTTTCTCATTGCTGAATCTACCCAGATCGGGGGATTTTACCTGTCCAGGCACCACCCTCACCAAAACCATGAATTGATCCTATTTTCAGAGGCATGAATGCAAAGGAGTGTGGGGGGCAGGTTGCAGCCGAGGGCTGATGCTTTGTGGCCTGTACAGGGAGAGGGACACCACCCCATCTTGGCCACGGCCGGGGAAACTGGGAAATGAAGGAGGCGGAAGGACGCCATTTATAATGCTTGGAGACAAATCTGCCAGGAAGACAAGGGGAGCCCTCTGGCTGCCTTAGCTCACCTACTCAGATTGGTAACCATGAGCCGGGGGGGCAAGGGCAGCCGTAATGGCAGGGCCAGTCTCCCCAAAGGGCTGAGGAAGAGGGAGGAGCTGCTCTCAGGGGGTCTGCACACTGCTTACCTTGTCCTCAGGAGCATGGGGGTGGGTGTCATGATGGCCATTGGTGTGGAGGGCACAGCGGCTCAGTGAGGCTGCGGAATCTGCCGGGCCACAGGCTGGCATTACTCATCTGGCCACATGCAATGCCTGAGCCTTGCTATTTTATGCTTCTGCTGAGTCCAGTGAATGCCCTTCATGACTTCACCTCCCTGCCAGCTCACCTGAGTGGAAGGATCCTCTCCCAGATTTGGCACACACCTTGGGTGTCCTCTGACAGGCGATTCATCCAGAGTCCCTGTGCCTCTCAGGAATCAGCTGGACTCGGGCAGCACCTTCCCTCGCCTGGCCGGGATCCCTGGGAAACCCTCTCAACAGGGGCCCCAGCAAGAACTGGGCATGATGTTTTGTTGAGGTCGGGTGTGCAGAGGCACTGTGGCATGTTGGTTAAGAGCATGGACCCAGGACACAACTGAACTCAAACCGCGGCTGTGCCACAGGTGCTTAGGCAACCTACTTAGCTCTGCTTGCCTCAATTTCCCCATCTGTAAAATGGAGGTACTTAAAGTCACTCCCCTAAAAGCTGTCCCGAGGACAACTACTGCACTGCCACACCCATCCACACGTGGAAGGGAGAGGTGCCCAGATCCTCTGCATTTCAGGAAAGTTAAAGTGGCACATCTACCAGACAGTCCCCAACCCCTCAGCGCACTATTAAAATTCCTTCACCAGACCATAGAGCCTTCACCCTGCAAGGGATCAGTAAGTGATATAAATAATATTTCTATAGCCATTTCAGGTCAGAAACTGCTACCAAATGAGTCACATGTCACATCACATTTTGCCATCAAATAAGTTAGCTACAGGAAAAGCTTTTCTGTTCAATTTGGATTTCGGAATTGAGGACAATTTTCATCTTGTCTGAAGAATGAAACGCATTCATGGCCCCAGGGATGGCACCGATGAGGGGGTGGGCGTGCAGGACTACAGGGGGCTGGAAAGCCACCTGGGAAGGGGACAGTGGTGTTCAATTGCAGCAAAGTGGGCACATGGGAGCAAGAGCTTCCAGTTGTTAAATGATTTTTTAAAAGAAGGTCAAGCCAAAAAAAGATGGCTGGTGACATCGTCCAACCTCCCCAGGTGTTAAGCACACATGGAAACACTGCCACTTGCTGACACTCCCTGGCCCCCTTGCAAGTCCCTGTACAAGCTTGCTCACACTAATTTCTCCAAGGGCAGAGCATCTGACATGCATGCCACACCCAGGCCCCAGCAGAGCCCAGGAGAGGAGGCACCGGCTGGTGTCAGAGGCACCATCCTGGACACCAGGTGCCCCGTGTGGCAGCTGTGACAGATGATGGCAGGGGTCAGACCTGGAATGGCTCACTTTTCCACCTGACTAAAGCATAAGTGCACAGTCTTAAAAAAGAGCCCCCAAACTCACCCATTAAACTAAACTAGGGTGAACCTTCGCTTGTATGCTTTCATCATCACTGGACCCCACCGTGCCTAGGTTTTAGCACCCTCTCCTGAAGGGTGGGCATCACAGTGAAGCATGAGAAGTCCCACGGAGACAGCTCTTGTCCATGCTTTAAAATGTCTGCTTTCTCCTTTGTTTCCTTCTCATGGTTTAAAATGAACTCGATCTGATATTTCGATAAACAGCAGCCTCCTAACTAGCAGGCAGAGACTATTGCCACACCCCAGATATTTTAAATGTGGATTCTTTTATTATTATTATTTGATTATTCTGGGGAGCAGGTCATCCCGCACAACTCCTCATTTCCTTTCTCCCCAACCCCTGCCCCCCATTCTTTGGTGCTGCTTCCCATGGCACCTGACATGAACATGGTGACCCCACTTCCTGCCCAGAGATATGCTATGACCCAGGTTGGAAGGGGCATCCCCCTACTTCTAAATGTGAATGGATCGGGGCAAATGCACCCTCCCCATTGGAAGAACCTCTCAATATCCAGAGGACATCAGCAGCACGTTTGTCCACCAGAGCCGCACGTTTCTCATCCATCTTGAAATACCTGCTCCCGTGGCCCACGCACATCCTGTGCAGAGACACTTGTCCAGCCGCAGTCTCAGGACAGCCCAGACACAGGTCTACCTCGAACAGGAGGTGTTGGGGAGACACTGCCAACAGACCTGCCAGCGAGCATCCTCCCGATTTTGTACCTGAGCCAGGGGGGTGTTCAGAAAGCCAGAGACCTGGAGGATGCCACGAGAAACCCGCAGAGGTACTGGCCTCTGCTCTCAGACCCACTCCAGGCCCTTGGCCTCCACGGTAGAACACACCGAGAGATGTGCTCTTTCTGTCCTGCTGTGATGACACATCTGTTTGGATTCAGGTCTAGGCAAAGTTGTCCTGCATTCAGACTTGAACGTCACCCTTCGTCCAATGATGCAGAAAGGGGCCTCTTTTGGCCTAAGTTTCCACTTGTTAAGGAGCTATTCTGGAGACCCGTGGGCACGACTGTACGCCACGCTCCATGGCTGCATCTGCACTCCAGTGGTTTGGCCCCTGTCAGCCCTGTTGCTATTCTCCTCGCTCTGTGGGGGCAGAAGACAGAATGATGTGCCCCCACCATTGTCCCCAGACCTGCACATTTGTGCCCATCCAGGGCAGCAAGGACTTTAAAACAGGTGAGATTCAGTTAAGGACTTTGAGATGGGAAGTGTCCTGGACTCCCCAGGTGCACCCCAGGTCATCACAATGGTCCTCACAGGAGGGAGGCAGGAAGGCCAGCCTCTGAAGAAGGTGATGTGACTACAGAAGCAGAGACTGGAGAGGCAGATAGGAGCTTCTAGAAGCTGCAAGAGGCAAGAATCCTCACCCAGAGCCTCCAGAAGGAACCAGCTCTGCCAACACCTGGGTTTTAGCCCCTTTAAGACTCATTCTAGACTCCTAGCTCCAGAACTGTGAGAGAATAAAGGTGTGTTATTTTAAGCCACTAACTGGTGTTTTGTTACAGCAGCCACAGGAAACTAATCCAGTGGTCGTGCTTTGAACATCGAGTTCTAACAGGCACCTGATGGAGGTAAAGCTTTATCCTCCGGCAAGGGTGGACTAATGGCGAGATGGTGGAATCCTTTCAATCCAGGTCTGAAGCCATTTTTCCCCTTTGCTGACAATAAGTCTTAGAAAAAGTAACTGAGCCCCCACACCTGGGCCCCTCCCCTGTAAGCAGCATGAACAGTCCCTGCTCTGTGGCCTCTGGCAGGATAAAAATTCAGATAATAGGTTGGAGTGTTACTCGGTGCCAGATGCCTTTCCAAAAGGGCACTTTGTTGAAAGTCAGGGGAATACGAGACGCAGGCAGCCTGCCGGAGCCCTCAGGCTCAGTGATGGGCTGTCTGCACCTGTCACTCTCTGAGACGCCGTGCCCACATCTTTGGAGAGCAAAGGGCCCCGGCCTGGGCTTCAGCAAAGATCTTACCCCACAAGCCATTTCCCCACCATGGTTTCCCACTTCTCCACACCCACCAGCTCCCTGGGCAGCACAGGCAGCGACTGTGCCTTCTGCTCACAGAGGCAAAGCTCACAGAGGCAAAGCTCACACCAGCGAATGTTTGCATCAGGCCAGGTGCAAAGCTCAGTCGTCCTGGGCACAGACCACCCCACAGTAGTAGGACCATCGCTAGTCTGCGGGCAGCATCCACCCCAGGCCCTCCCAG